TATATATATATATATAGAAAAGTGATATGGCATCTCTCTTGGGCCAAGAAACCTATTTATCTTTTTTTGAGTTTTTCATCATTTTGTTCATTTATCTTATATTAAAAATTCTATCTTAATAACTCATACCTCTTTACTTTCATAACCTACACTTTTAATAATCTCAATAACTCTCATGCCTTTCATATTCATAACCCCAAATGATTAATGTATAAGTTTATAATAATTTATTATAGTATTTCTTCATATGTACCTATACAAGGACTTCTATATTTTGAACAAAGATATTGAGGGGCATACTAACGTAAAGTATGTAATAAGTCTTTTACCTCCTTTTTTTTTTTTGCTTTTTTTTAGGAACTTCCTTCTTTATTTTCTTTCTCATAAATTTTACTTTTAATCTATGTGAGATTTTCCAAACTATGCATCGTCCAAAAGTAACATCTTGCTCTATTTTATATTATAGGTTGAGTATTAGATATACTTAACATTAAGTTGAGGAACCTTTATATATTTTCTACAGATCATGACGGTTGATGCTGGACAGCTTAAAGCAAATTATAGAGTATTTGAGTCAGAGAGAAAAAGATTTGATTGATCTATACAAGAAGTGTGAAGTAAAGAGTTGGAGCACAAAGACAAATCTAAGTGTTCTCTTTCCTTTTTTGTGCTTTGATTTCTAGGTTACCACCTAATTAGAATTCTTTCTACATGCTCTTTTGCTCCATAATTTACTTTGTGCTCAAGCTTATTCATATCATCTCAGAGATATTTTAAATAAGGTCATAGTTGCAAGTAGAGTTTAACTGATAATATTTCTTAATCAAGTTATTTGTTCTTGACATTGCCAATCATATAAAATATTTTATGGAGATTACCCTCAAATTTTAGGATCAGTTAAAAAATTACAGTTCCTGTATGATGTCGTTACAATTGTAAGTGGGAAGGATACATATATCTTTTTATCTAATTATGTGACCATCGACACACTATTTAGCCGTTTGTTTATTGCATCAGAATTCCATAATTATTTTGCTATAGCAATATATTTGCTGAGACTCGGACAAAGTCCTTCTACTCTCATCAAATTTGGTCTTTTTTCGCTAAAAAGTAATTTATTTTTTATTAATATATAATTTGAAATAGGTGTACTGAAATTTCATACTGGCCAAGATTGTTTAACTATTTATACGTAGTCTGCTCATACAAATATTAAATGGACAGGATCATTTGATTTCCAATATAAAAATGTGTAACTTACAACTTATAGTCTTTTGGGTAATTCAAGAAAACAATAAAGAGAGAGACAGAGTTTCATGTGTAAATGTATCATAATTATTTCACATATCTTCTTCTTTTAAAAATATTGAGAAACTTTCGCAAATTTTAGAAAATTAAACTCATATATGTATATAATAAATTTACGCGAAACAAGGACAAATTTACTAGTTACGAATAGATTTCACTGGTTGTGTGGGTCTTTTCATGTTCCTTTTCTCCCTGAGAAGATCAAAATAGGACAGGGGCTATATATGGGTCCATTTGCAGAGGTGCTGATTTTAATCTTATATTTTGTTAATCATGATATTTGGTGTGTTAAAGAAGAGAAACTGATGACTTTGGACAGAATGCAAAAGCCAGGTATTAATATATAACAGTTGAATGCAAAATATGTGTACTTGTACTTCAACTGTGTGCCGTCAAGAACCTACTTTCAAGAGATAATGAATTGGTATAGAAAGCAAAAGCATTAGACAGCTGGAATGGATAAAAATTTTGTACAGATAGATAGGAGGAAGTAGATAGATGAACTGATCGATAAGCCCTTTGTATAGGACTAAACAATTAATGTTAGAATAGGAAATCTCTGTAATGGGTTGTTTTAATTGGTGATTAATAAGATTTTTTCTTTTCACCGAAAAAAAAAAATCTACAAGAAAAGCTAAGTAGAACATATCTATCCTTTCCAACAATAAAAGCACAATCTCTATGTTCCTTGTCCCTCGCAGCTTGTTTACTTAAATTAATCATCAAATTAAACCACCTAAACAACACATTATAGACCATCATTCTTCTTTTCTTTCATCAGAATCTTTATCCGGATTGGTCTTTTTGGCTGCTAATTAATTTAATATTTTCAGTTACAATGACTGTTTGAAAGTGCCAGCAGTGAGAGATGTATGTATCTAGACAAATTTGCAGATTTTTACAATACTAACAACACATTCCCAAGTTGATGAGTTAAAAGTCAGAAACGTATATTTTTGGTTAATCATTGGATAGCCCAAACTTAATGGTCTGTTTAATCCGGGTTCGTGCCAGAAATGCTCATTAAGAGGACTTGTATATGTGTTAAGAAATATGTACAAAAATTAAATTAAACATATTAATTGCGTACTAGCACTTGAACTTGTTGTTCTAGAATCCAAAATCATAAAGTTAAATGGTAGATCCGCCTTTGCTTACTGATCAAGCGGTTTTTATTTTCTTAGAGAATTTCTGAGTGAAAGGAAGAAGAGCCAGAAACCTCAAATCATGGATGCGAATCAAGTGATAATTAACGAATCTAAAAGTGGGATAAGATATTCTAAGCAGTAAGCAGATGTAACTATCAAAGAATCGGGAAGAAAATCAATTAACACAAGTCATTTTCCACTGGCTTTTAGTCTCTTGTCCCTACCTTAAATTGCCGGAAAACCCCACGCAAGAATATCTTATCCAGACAAACTTTGTGGAAGCCAATCAAAACACAGAAATAATAACCTACTACTATCTCATATCTTATTCTGATTTCTAAAGATCTACAGTGACAGCATTTTGGAGACTTGGAGAAAAAGCACCAACACATAGTTCCAGGAGTTGGATTAGTTACCCTTTATTTGTCATCTTATTCCTTTTCCATTTAATATAAAAATGCCTTTTGACCTAAATGGGCCATTTGTTTCAAGGGATTAGGCGGGTTATTTTGATCCTTAATTTTAAGATTAATTTTATCTCGTGTTTGGTAGGAGGTTTTAGGTAAATCCATTATTATTTTAATGCTAATATCTTACCTCATATAGAAGGTGGGATTGATTATCAAAATAATAATCCTGATTATAATTTCAAAATTATAATCCTGGAATATCCTGATTTTAATACAATTGACTTGTGTTTCTAGTTAAAACGTTATAACCTGTTCAGCTCAAAAACCAATTTACTATTTGGCCAAATTAAATAAGTGTTGGCATTTGGCAAACAAGTGCTATGAAGTTTTGGACCGTGTGTTGGTAAACATTAGCTCCACCAAATAATTAAGCTGCCGATTTAGATAAAAATAGTAAATTTGAGGGGTTTAAGGTTAGAGATCCAAGGTTATGCGTTGTTTGTATGATTAAAGAGGAAATGATGGTTACTCATGGCTAGATAATAAAGCAAAATATGATGGCCATTACTTTTTTAATCACAAGAAAAAGACAACACCACATCACCAGCAAATAGAAAAATCTTTCCAGCAATTTTCATGAAAAAAGTCTTAAGGATTACACGAAAGCAATTTGTCAATTAAAGTGCTCTACTACTATGATGCATGCAGACACAAGTATGCATAGAAAACGATATAACCAAAAATTATACTCATGATTTTGTTACGTCACTCTGAAGCATTAGCATTTCTTTTTTTCAAAATTGGACCTACCTCAAATAGATGAAGCTGAAATTGTTTGCGATTTGAGCGTAGAGAACTGTGTATAAAGGTTATAAGATAAGTATTCCTATCTTCAACTTTTTAGCTTGTGATATAACCTCATTTTAAGACTCAAATTACCTTCCTAATCTATCTGCCTTACCTATATTTACTAAAAAGGTGTCGGTCTATAATATAATGTACATACATACTGCTTTTAGAGGAAAGAAATTATTTACACACACACACATATATATATATATATATATATACAAAAAAGTTTTTGGCGAAACGGTGTCGGATGACACATATTAGGGGCGAAATTAAAAAATAGCCAGATTTACAAGTGGTAATTGAAAATAGTCACAATTTCAAAAGTAATCGAAAATTAGTCACTTTTCATGTAAAGATAAATATGAACGAAAACACTAATTCCAAAAGGTATTCCAGCATAATATACTGGAGTTCCAGTATAATATACCAGACTTCCAACATAATATACTTCCAGCATAATATACTGAAGTACCAGCATAACATATTGGTCCAGCATAATATGCTGGAAGTTCATATACAAGTGCTCCAATCTCCAGTATATTATGCTGGAACTTTCTGTATGTTGGAGTTCTAGCATAATATGCTGGAAGTTCATACACAGGTGCACCAACCTCTAGCATAATATATATGCTGGAAGTTAATACACAGGTATACTAATCTCCAGTATATTATGCTGGAACTTTCCGTATTGCAGCACAATAATGACTATTTTTCAATGATTTTGCAACCGCTGGCTATTTTTCAATTATCAATCCGAAAATTGGCTACCCCTTACTATTTCCATATGAGGGGATGACTCTGCCCCTGCATGGGGGCCTACACTAAGGGTAGGTAAAACAAGTGCAATGGCTTGAAAGTAACTTTACAAAGATTAATTATGTTTATCAGTATATTAGTCAATGATAAGCTAAAGAGAGAGAACCTCTTGATTAACTGGGAATGCAATCAATCACTCAAACCAATTGCTAAAGAATAGGACTCAAGATTAAATAAGCCTAAAAATGTTACTATGTTTCTAGAGTACTATACCGTAGAGTCTGTAGTAAAAACAATTAGTGCTTCACCTTGTATATTTCGAGTTCGAATCAAATCCTTTACATGTTATGGACAAAAAAGTTGTCAAGAAAACATCCCATAAGCATATAAACTTTTTTCTTTCCCCCAAATTAGGAAAAGAGTTTCCAAAATTAATCAGGGGAGATAAACTAATCAGAAAAGGATTGGTTTTTAACAGGGAACGGAATGCAGCACATCATTCTTTGGATCAAATCATCATCACCTACGACTACGAGCCAATATATATGGACTATGAAAGTTCTATTCTCTGATACCATATTATATATATATATCTCATCAACCTCTTCCCCGCATGTAAGTTTATAGAAGTCAGTATGTATCAGATATTGTGAAAAGGGCGAGATCATGAGCATATATATGTCTTGCAAATTACAAGTCATTACCTTTTTACTTTGTCTAACATTACTCCTCAGGGATTGCATAGTGTGATATGGTAATCTCATCTTCAAGCCTGGATACATGCTTACACTTGTTTTCTTTTCTTAGCTGTAGATACTCTTTGTACAAGAAGGGTCTGTATTTTGGTTTTTCTGCAATCTCCTTTGTAAAATGGGGAAGTGGTTCAATCCACTTGTCTCCTGACAAACTGTAGAAGAATGCAAATGAATTCCTTGATCTTCCATTAGGTCTCAGCACCCTATGGCTTGGGCTTTTGAATTTGTCATTCGAAAGGACCTGTAAAATATGAGGTAACAACTCTACCAACTAGCTAATAATCAATTCTCTAACTCTGTTGACTGCAATTTGAGAGATTTACCTGAAGAGCATCGCCAATATTGACAACAAGGGCACCTGGTTGTGGGACTATTAGGATCCATTCGCCATCCTTTTGAACCTCGAGGCCTTCAACTTCATCTTGTAGCACAATTGTGAAGCAACTGACATCTTTATGTGAATTTGCCCCTATCCTTTCTGTTTCTGTTGCTGGCAAGTAAAATAAAGCAATAAGAAAATCCCAGTTTCTGTCATCGTTGAATTCTTTAAGAACAGATGGAGGAAGCCCCAGGCACTCGCTCAGGATGCTCTCAACAACCATCCCTATCTTCAAGAATTGGGAGAATAACTCTTCCATAACTTCTCTGAAATGTGAAAGGAATTCATTATCGTAATAGCTAAAGTTTTCCACTAGCAAATCTTGTCCAAGAAAGGCAACAGCAAAATTTATTTCCCCAGCAGCCCCTTGTGCAGGGCAATTAAAAGGGCTAACTGGCATCAACTGGATATGTGTTTACTAAGATCAAATGTATTGTCTTCTATCTGGGAAAAGAAGCTTTAATTATGTAGGATAAATGACATGAAATTTTATAGCCAAACTATCTGATTAGAGATGCTTAAATAATATTAAAAATCTATCCAATTTGACATAGCTCTCAATTCTTGAACATGGAGCTGAGATTGATCGCATGCATTACTATCACAGTCTAGATCAAACTAGTAGAAAGCGTAAAGAATATCATTGACTAAACATCAAGAAGAGAATCCTGGAGTTGGAGTTGGCCTTTTATAAACAGGTTAAACAAGAAAAGGTTTTAGGTTCTTGGATCAATAAGGGAATCATTTGAGACATATGGTATTTTCTTATTGTCATCATTAAATTTGAACAAAACCAAGAAAAGGTTCTTGGATCTTCTCAGTTGAAAGAGTTTTCTCTTTGAGTCTACCAAATAGAAGGCACTCGTTTCAATTCCAACCTCCACCCCCCCCCCCCCCCCAAAACCCCCCTCTTCAATAAAGTTCTGTTCTAGGAAAAATGATGCATGCCAAGTCAAATAGCTGAGACATAATAAGGATATTGGGAAAGAGTAACTTTCCATCAAAGATTGGACCTTGAGTTCTTAAGTCAATGAGTGCACAATGAGTATCATCTTATTATATGTATACATTTTTAAACTCGTTGTTTATAAGCAAACAATCCAGGAAAAGTTGCTTAACCAAAAGTGAAAAATATGAACATACCGAAATTGTGGGGGATTGGGAGGGAAGATGTTAAAATGAGAACCAGGTGGAAGCATGATGAGGAATTCATTGAACTCATAAGACGGATTAGGCTTCTTGTTATAGCCTGCAGGAACTGGTGCATTAGGCAGGGGACAGTATTTGAGTTTAGCTTCATTTGGAGACTCAAAGAAAGCTTTTGCCAGCTGCAGAGCTCCACTGGTCAGATCAAAGGGTACCCCATGGTTCACAATTTGAAAGAAGCCATACTCAGTACAGGCTTTAGTAATGGACTCTACAATTTTTCTCCTTTCATCTTCATATCCTTCTCTGAAGAATGGTGTCAAGTCGACAGTGGGTATATTTTTCATAGCCATTCTCAGAGTCAACTTGGTTTGGTTACATCACTACTGCTTTCACTTGTAGGATTTTGGAATCTCGATACACTGTCTTTTGGGTAATTTTTTTACCTATGTTTCCAAATAAATTAAATTATTGGTAAGAGAAGCATAGAAAATTATTACTAAATTTTAGATCTTTGTTTTCTATTTTGTTCTTATGCATGCCATTGGATATTAGTTAATCCGATTAATTACTTCAGCCGAGCCGACACTACTCCAATTTGTTCATTGTCAGGACTCACAGTACCTTACCAAAATATTCCCACATTATTAAAGTCTCATCAGCACATGTGACTAGTACAAACGTGAAAATATCACAGTAAAAACTATTAATGTGCTGTATGACTAAAATCTTAGAGAGATCAACGATAATAGTAATGAGAAAATAGGTATTACTTACATTTGTTGACTTGATCAAATACTAGATGCGGATAAATTATTGCCATGTCTCCGATCTTACTATGTTGATATTAAGTGCCAAAGATCACTTCAAAATAATATGCAGATACCCTAATATTAAAATTAAAACATATTTCAAGGTACTATAACAGTGTTAGGTTGTCATCTTCACAACAATACAGGGTGTTTCTACCTGCTATTGATTTGAAATAGGGTGGATATCTCAATTAAGTATGCTATATTGTTACCACAATAAGTATAATCCTACACTTTGCCCAAAATAGCTTCCCCTATCTAACCTCTTCTTTTTCATTTCTTTTTTGCATGGGAAATATGAAGTGAAAAAATAAGTAATTAGACAAAATTACAAAGAAAAGGTTAAAGGAGAAATGTGAGAAAAAGCTCACTGAAACTAAAAATTAGAGTCACCACTATATGTCATTCGATTTTTCTGCAATATCCGAAACCTCTTTACAGAGACCAACTCTGATAATCGAAACACTGAAGAGAACTCAAATCAAACACAAGGTCTACCAACAGTTCATTCGTCTTCTTCATCTTCATCATCTTCATCTTCCTCTTCAGAGCCTCCGCTGTCCTTTCCCTGGCAATTCATATCAAATCAACCAATTCATTACCCAAGATATAAAAGAACAATCTTCAATAAGCTGCCGACACACATAAAATGGTATGCGGTTTTATGCTAAAATCACTGTCAGCTCCCAGCAACAAGATCCCCTGGCACCATATTCACACATGCAAAATCTGAAGTTTCATTTTTTGACACAATTCCAATTCATATTGGTAATGCTGTCACCTTTTGTACAGGATTAGGCATGTCTAGTCCCCGTAGTTGTTTTCTGAAGGTTAGGCATTATATCCCCCCTTCCTCATGTATTTTCATACCGAGTATTAATATATGGTCAGCGCCTCAGCGGTCATTGCCTACCCCCCCCCCCCCCCCCC